TTTCTCAAGACAAGTGCAATCCCTTTCACATCGCATTCGTGTGCAAAGCATTCGTGAGCTTTGATATAAAGTTTGGTTAAAATAAAATTATTATTGGAATCGTTGAGAAGTTTATCGGATTCAGCCAATAGTTTGGTCCCTAAAATAGTGGTGTCGTTCAGAAGCCTAACCATCGATAGAAAACTTGTACTCATTTCGACTAAATTAGAAAACGAAGACTCTCTTCGATTCTCGTATTCTTGGGACTCATTCTTCAGGATATATAATGTTTCGGTGCATATGATGGATGCGATGTCGTCGTCTGATATGTTATTCAAAGCAATTAACTCTTTGGCTAAAGACAAGGCATCGTTTGCTTTCGAGTGAACTGTTATCAAGGCCTTCAGTAATTCCAAATGAGCCCATTCTGTACATTCAATCGATGAATAACTTCTTTGAAGGATCTGAGAGACAAATACAAACATCAGTCCTAAAGACATGGTTCACAAAAATATATCATCAAAACTGACGCATGAAATCTTGAAATCAAGAAGAACTCTTTGACAAGCTTTGCGTCCAATTGTTGACAAACTGCTCATACTTTCAATGATACCAATCAACTCTTTCTGATGTGAAGTAAAATCTATACAAAAGTAAAATAAGATAAATGTGAAAATATCACACAAAATGTTTCATAAAAAAGTACCTGAACTCAGATCGGTTTTATGAAGCTTTTCAGTGGCTTTGGTCTTGAGCTGAACGCTCAGCGGAGCTTCTGATAGATTTCGGATCAAACCTTTGGCCATATTATCACAAGCCTTTGACAAGTTAGCAATTAAATATCCATTCAAATTATATTAATATTTCATAAAACAATACCAAAATAATATCCAAATCCTGATGACTATACTGGAAGAGAAGACTCACTTCATGTGCTTTTTCGATACAACTATTGTTCAATAACTTTTCGATCACTTTATCCAATGTTTTATTTGGTTCTCTTGCGGAGAAAGTTGATTCAATTGACTCGAATGTAGTTTTATTGTCACTTTTATTTGATTTAATAAAACCTATTATATCGGACCAAATCCTGGACCAGATGTTGTTGTCATTCTCACAGTCCATAACATTGTTTTCAATTTGAACGATACATTTCCAGAGCATTACTTCGAAAGCAGAACTCTCTCTTTGATTGTCGAAATGTTGTGATGCGATCAGACATTTGAATATCAAATACGATTTGATAGTAAGAGAAGGAATCTGTGATAAAAACTTATTAAACACTTTGAACGATGAGACCAATGAATCATCGATTGCTGTCAGACTATCCCAACAATTAATCCAAAACTCAAATGAGTCCAAATTATGAGCCGCTCTCAGAGTCCACTCATTGATAATCAAATCTATGGACTCTATTTCGGCATTATTTGCAAAATTTCGGGCTTCAATGAAGTAACCGTTGTGCTGAAGATTTGATATCACAGTCTTTACAATCGCACAATAGGTCTCATTTGTGGCTTTGAATCCGTGCTCGACATCAATTTTGGCCGATAATAGCTCTGCGATCGGAAGATCAATATTCGTGTCATTTAAACATTGACACAAACGATACAACTTCCTAAAGTCGTGGATCTTAACTGTTTTCAAATATATAGAATAAGTTTTGTAATATAATTTTAAAATACATATACATTAGTAATGTAATCAAGACAAAATTCTTACTTCCGTCTGAAAAGCTGTCCTGAATTCTGGCGAACTCGAAGTCTCGCAACAAAACTATTAATTCATAGTTTTTTGCATTTCTTAAAGCGTTGGTTAATATGATTACAGAAGCTTTTTGTATCCATTGCTTTGTAAGTAATATATTTTCACAATTAACCGGTTCTTCATACTTCCAAAGATTGTCTTGAAATGACTTTAGATTCTCGACATTATAATAGTTTTTCTCACAGAAAAATAAAATCAAAAAATGTAATAAATTGTTGAGACATGTGATATTAACGTTAAAAAGTTTAAGTCCGCGAAGAATTATTAAATAATTGTTCACATCTCTCACAACAATGTCAAGCATTTGAAGATGACTTTCTAGACTCCAATTTAAAGCATCAAAATTTGGCACTTTTTCACAAAACACTTTACGAATTTCGGTGTCCATTGAAGCCAAGAGCCAACTCGAGAAGGCACTGAATGTATTGAATTTTTGTGATCCATAATCGGCGGAACATGCGATCAAACAAAGTATAGGATTTGAAAGAGGAATACTTGAATGCATGAGAGGTTTTCGGGGGTCGTATGACGAGTCTGTTTGAAAGCTTAGCACCAATTGAAACAAGTCTTTCGGACAATTGTTTGCATTTAGATTAGGCATCTCTTCGCCATCACTGGCATTAGAACTGGAAACCACTGAAATGGTTTCGATTCCGTTATAATCAGTTGTTTCGCTGGCAATAGACATGTCATCGTTGTCCATGGCTATAGGGGAACCAATACTACTGTTACGAAAGGAATTCTTCGGGTATCTCGGGTTAGGACTGTCGGGTATGTCTTGGGCTCTACTCAACCCAATTCGTGAATAGAGAACATTCCTCAGGTGTTTGTTCGATCGCTTTTGACTCTCTTTTCTGTTCAAAATCTTTGAGTTATCGCTACTCTCGCTGTCCATTAGGATTGTGTTAGAGCTTTGGAAAGCTTTATATAAATGATCGGAAATGCATTCGTTATTGAATTGTTTTAGAGAATTGAAAACCAATTCTTTTGGGTATTGATGTAATTGACAACAAATTGTAAATACGAGCCAATTGTCAGAAGCGGCACATTTGTTCAACAGATCCAAAGGTAGTTCCAGTCCGTGGAGTTCAGCGAATCTAATGGTTATTTTCCAGTCAAAACACTCTTCAATTTGAATGTTCATAAAATTCCTGTACTTTCGAGTGATGGCCGTCACCGCCAACTGCAACAACTTTCCGGACGATCTTTTGTCGCTATAATAATGAGATCTTTTGAGAAGATTCGAGAGTTCTGTTTGTTGTTGTCTAGCATTGAGTCCCAGAAAATCTGCGGCATATGACATGACTATATTGGCAATCGATAAGTGAAGTAAGGTTTGGGTCGAATCATCACACAATAGCTGTTGAAATACAACACAAGAGACGGCGATGTGATAGTCGGTGGTGTCGTTGTAGGCGACCAGAGCTGCCCGACGACAGGCCAACTCTATGCTCTTGGAGTTCAAAACTTTGCGATTCACTATAAACCTATTGTAGGCCTCAACTACTCGCCCTTGGTTTAAATAGTATGTAAAAGTGAGGTTAGCCTTAAGACCATAAAGATCTGCGAGTTTTGTATTAGAAAAGTGCGGCAATTGATTGAACACCATTGATGGCATGTTATCGTCACTCTGTTCAACCAATTTGTTCATCGATTGCCAGCAAAACATTTTGGTCACATCGAATGGAATCGACTCTTTCAGTAGTAGGTAAACATTGGGAACTTTGTGCGACAATTCATTGTCTGATAATTCATGGGATTCTGCAAACGAACTGTAAATTATTGGCAACTCAGCCCTAAACAATTCAATTATATGTGTTTTGTTAGATTCCGGGCCATTGAGAGAATCCATTTGTTGTGAACAGATTTCAGACAAACTGAATGAAGAATATGTTGAGGCGATGATCCCTAAGTAAGGATTCGTTGTCTACGGCGATGTGATAGTCGGTGGTGTCGTTGTAGGCGACCAGAGCTGCCCGACGACAGGCCAACTCTATGCTCTTGGAGTTCAAAACTTTGCGATTCACTATAAACCTATTGTAGGCCTCAACTACTCGACCTTGGTTTAAATAGTATGTAAAAGTGAGGTTAGCCTTAAGACCATAAAGATCTGCGAGTTTTGTATTAGAAAAGTGCGGCAATTGATTGAACACCGTTGATGGCATGTTATCGTCACTCTGTTCAACCAATTTGTTCATCGATTGCCAGCAAAACATTTTGGTCACATCGAATGGAATCGACTCTTTCAGTAGTAGGTAAACATTGGGAACTTTGTGTGACAATTCATTGTCTGATAATTCATGGGATTCTGCAAACGAACTGTACATTATTGGGAACTCAGTCCTAAATAATTCAATTATATGTGTTTTGTTAGATTCCGGGCCATTGAGAGAATCCATTTGTTGTGAACAGATTTCAGACAAACTGAATGAAGAATATGTTGAGGCGATGATCCCTAAGTAAGGATTCGTTGTCTAAATTCAATTATATGTGTTTTGTTAGATTCCGGGCCATTGAGAGAATCCATTTGTTGTGAACAGATTTCAGACAAACTGAATGAAGAATATGTTGAGGCGATGATCCCTAAGTAAGGATTCGTTGTCTCCATCAGTGATTTTAATGTTACAGAACTTGTCATCGAATATATGTATTGTGCGGTCAATAGAATATTATTGAGGATTCTCTCATCTGAAGGCTCTGATGAACAATATATCGAAGTCTTTAATAAGTTTGTAAAAGGATTTTCACTAAAAATTTGAGTTTTGCTGAAGGTTTTGTAGAAAATGTATATAAACTCGTTGAGATTATGATGACTACAGTATTTCATCAAATCGAAAACAAAAGTTTTTATTTTTAATGAAGAATTCGACAAAACAAGGGATTCATCAATAAAACCGTTTTCATTATTAAACCAAAACAACGATTCATTTCTTCCAAATCTATTTAAAATAGTCTGAAAATCGTTGACTTCTTGGGCACAAAAGTATCCTCTCGTGGATAAAGAGTTAAGAACTAATTCTTTCGTTAAAATAGAAGCTCTTTCTTGAATTGATTCAATCATATCAGGAGTAATATTCCAGTTGAACGGAAACATTGTGGACTCAGAATTTGATACATTTTGTATCCAATAGTTTAAAATGAAGGCATCATTTTTATCAATCAAATAATTCCAGACAATATTCGGTGACAAAGTATTGTCTTCGAAGTCATTTACATCTTGTATGAGAGATAAGAAGAAAGATCTCTGAAGCAATTCTGCAGTCATTTTACTGATCCAACAAATGGGAACAGAAATATTAGATTCAATACTTAGATAATCACACATTTCTGTAGTTTTTTCTGCGATTGATTTGTCGCTTTGAATAATATATTCACGAAATTTAATACTAATTAATTGTCTGAGTTTGTGGTCAGATGTTAATCTATAGATATATTGAATTAAGTCTTGGAATTGAAGTCCTAATTGAGATAAATTATGATTAAGATCTTCATATCTATCGCTTTTAATGCACTCAATCGCAGACATGACAATAATTTTAACAATTTTATGCCATTTTGTATCCAAATTCTTGTATTTTTTAAGCCAGAATTGTCCCAAAACTACATAATTAGAGTGCACTGAATCGGACACTACTTGAGTTTGAGTCGAATTATTATCCCATTTAATGTCTTTTAATTGATTTTCTATTTTTGGCTCAAAATCTTTAATATTTTCTAAAATTCTTAGAGAATGTCTAATCAAACGAATACTTTTAGTGAAAAGTTTTGTAAATTTTTCTATTAATTCAGAATCGAAGTTACATATCGTGTTGTCCGACACTATTGACAACAACTGATTACAAGATTGGAGACCAATTCGTGACAAAGAAATGGCAAAATTCTTTGTATTTTTATCATTAATATTAATTGAAATAACATTGTTTAGTTTAGCAAATACTTGTTCCCAATCGCTGTAAAGGCATTCGTGCTCAACACTCCTCTCATTAGAGCTTACATTTTGGGTATCAGTCAATCGAAATGCTAAACAAAAAATGTAAAAATATTTGTTTTAAAAGTCCAAATCAAATACATTAGATTTAACATTTAGAACATAAGGTTAAAACTAGCTCAAAATACTAGGTTTACTCATTATATCTTTTAAAAATTTAAATGTTATACAATATTATGATACACTACACAATTTTATTGTAGTACCGTACGGTATATACACTGTATATTACGGTATACAGTACATAACTTTGGGAAATTATTATTAATTACAATTACCAATGGGTTCAAAAATATGATATTTATTAATGTTTAAACAAATTACAATAACTTTAGTTAAATAACTCTTAAAATATACGAAAAAAATAAACTTCTGTTTATATTAAATACATATTCTGTTTCGACTAAAAGTTGGTATAAATTCATACAAATATCGATAGATTGCAAGCGTTTGTCAATCATTTAACGTTAGTTTTAATGAATTTAATGCTTGATTATAATCTAAATGTTTGATTCGCATAACAATTCTGGCAATACTTTCGGCAAAAAGTACTGAACACAAGAAATTCTTGTGAGTCAAGCGTCCAAAGAGTCCGTCCAAAGAACCTATTAAATAGATTTGTTGTCTTCGAGTCAATACACGAAACCCAATGTTAGCGACAATTCCCACAAAACCATTGCTGTTGAAGACTCGCCGGTAATGCGAGGGATAACTCGCGTCCAAACAAATGGCTT